CTCAATCAAAACAATATAGTGGCGTTTATCTGAGCAAAGTTTTAACAAAATGAAGTTACTTTTGTAAATAGTGTTTCTTTCAAAAATTTGATTCTTTTATAAAAAATTACAATTTTTATCTCAAGTTGACGAATTGTTGAGATATTTTTCATACTAAAATTTCAACTTACAAACACTCTTAAAAGACTAGTACAATTTTGAAAACAAATTTCAGCTTTCATCAAAAAATTTCTCCAAATAAATCAAAGAACTTTTTCCAAATGGCTTCTAAAATTAGGATGGTAGGACTTAGGAGTGAAAATGGTTAGTAAAACACATGAAAACCAAATTTTAGAAACAATATGGACTATAGTTGCAACCACAAAACATTGAGATGCTAAACTACTTATTGCCAAAAAGAAAATGACCCAAAGTGACAAAAGCTTGTATTATTACTTCGTTACTGAAACAGCAACCAATAGAGAAGCGCGTCAATGGAAAGTGGTGAAGAACATGAACAGAAAATGCAAAACCCTAACAATGGAACAACAATGGGTGAGATAAACCTGATCCCCACATCAAATTCAAAGCCAAAAGTGGTAGTAATAATGGGAGCAACAGGTTCTGGAAAATCAAAACTTGCTATTGACTTGGCTTCACACTTCCCTATTGAAATCATCAACGCTGATTCTATGCAGGTATATAGCTCTTTATATACTCTTACAAGTTCAATAATTTTTGTATAATACTTTTATTTCTGCTATTTCTTTTGGATAGGTTTACAGTGGATTGGATGTTCTGACCAACAAGGTGACTCCCCGAGAGCAAAAAGGTGATTTCTTGCTCTGTTTTGTGTAGTATACTTCTTCAGTTATTTAGTTTTATGTGCTGGTGTTTGACTGTACATGAACAACTTGTTTGGATGGTTGTTCCCATTGTATGGTATTGTATTGTTATCCCAAAACAATGTTTGTTTTGATTGTTTCATTAAAATTGGTTGTATTGTATTGTATTGTATTGTATTGTTAAATGTAAAATCACATTTTTTGAAACAACCAATTTAGTGTGGTGTGATTGTTTCCTATTTTTCTTTCCAATTATGCCCTAACTTATTAATCCATAATTCTATTTTACCCTTTAACTTTTTTTTCTATTTTAACTCCAAATCTCCAACCTATAACCTACTTTATTTGTTTCCAAAACTTCTGCCGCCAACGTTAAAGGTATTTTGCCATCTTCTGTTTGATTTTTTCTCCTAATTTGCTTTTAACTCAATCTAATTAGTTGTGTTCCTTTGTTTTGCCTTCTTCTGTCTCGCTCCTTTGTTCTGCTTTCTTAAGGTGTTTTGCCTTCTTCTGTTTAGTTTTTTAAAATTATTTTTATGCATATTTTTTGATAAATTTAATATTTAAACAATTGAGGGTATTTTAGTAAACTTATCAGTTACAGTATAGTACGATACAGTCAAACCAAACAGCAAAATATTATTTAACAATAACAAACAATACAATCTATCCAAACATTGTATTCATAAAACGATACGATACAATACAATACATTATAAAACAATAAGGAACAATGATCCAAACAGAGTGGAAGTTTAAAAAAGAAAAGAGACAACTCACACGAGTAAAATATATACTACATAGTATAGCAAGGTAACCTCTAGTCTTCAACTTGCCATGTCAATACCTATAAATATGTTATTAATGGTAAAATACAAATAATATTTAAGAGTTTTCAGATGTCTTTTTGGAGCGGACCAAAAAAGAAAGATGTCCAATAAAATGGACTAATATAAAATGGAATGCCGTACTATTTTGATGTGTAACTTTGTGCATATAGAATCAAGTATCTACATTTTGATTTTGGGTTGTTGTGACAGGTGTACCTCATCATCTTCTTGGTACTATCAGCCCTAGTGTTGAATTTACTGCAAAGGATTTTCGTGACTCAGCTATCCCTGTGAGGCCTCTTTTCCCGGTGATCTCAATCTTATGTATATCAGGGATTACACAAGAAAAAAAAATATACAGGTCTATTAGAATGTCCCTGGGCATTGGATGATGTAGTTCTGATATTCTAAGTCACCATCAAAGCTGCATCTTCAATAATGGCTCTAATGATTTTGTCTTTGTTGGAAATGGGTAAATAAGGTGTTACCTTTTGCCTAAATGGAAACTAAGAACCTATTAGCGCTTGAAGTTTCTTCTGAGGTTCGATAACCTCTTGAAGCCTCTAGTCTGGGCACTAGGATGGTCAGTTATTATTTGTTCTATCGAAGGTTCTTCATATAAGCCTCTTAGTTTACCCAGAACCCAGAAGTGTGAACTCTACGGTATAGAATGCTGTAATAATAGTTATGCATGAGACACTCTTTAAAGTATTGCAAAAAGAAGGGCACACTGCTTTTTCAACAGGGAGGCTATAATTGTTGTCAGATCAGACAGAGGCCTGACCTGTAAGCTGGCCCACTTAGTGAACTCCTAAAATCTTGGGAATACCTTTATTTAATCTTCTTTTGGGATAAGGTGACTATAACTTTTTTAATTAATTATAGCAAACAATTAGTTATAAACTTATTGCACATATTTCTTCTAGTATAGAGTGAATCTCAATTGTAAAATCTCAATTGTATGAGTATACTCCAATTTTCTGACTAATTAGATAATGAAGAATCTTCTTTTAAATCACTAAGTTTGGTGTGTTGAGGGGTGGTGGTGGCGGCATTGATGAATGGGATATCTACATCTATTTGCATGTACTGAGGGTTTCTGTGTCTATCCTTTGACTCCTGATATTTTGTGAAAACTGTGAAAAGAATGGATGCAGTCAATCCCCTCCTCTCCACAGTTGAAAACTTGAAACCTCTATTCAATGACCAGCAACTCTGGAGCAACGAACTTTGGTTGCTTTTGTCACTAGGCGATGTACCTAACCTGTCTTTCCCTGTAGCAATATTGATTAGTGTCTTTCAGCCATCTTCTATAGGAAAATTTGAAGTAAGCTCTTGAAAGTTGAAACGTTATATCCATCAACAATCATATCTATCCACTCTTTCTACTAATCTGGTTTCTTATTTTATTTGTAATTTCAGATCATAAATGAGATATGGTCCCGCAATAGGTTGCCAGTTATAGTTGGAGGAACAAATTATTATATTCAGGTACTTTTTGGCTCTTCTCCACTCTCCATTTTTTTGCTTGTGTGCATGTCGTCCGTCATAATAGAAATTTCCGAAGACACTGGGACCAAAATGACATGATTATAGAAGTTGTCTACCTCAATAGTCTGATTATTCAGAAAATTACTTTTCTCCTGAATGGTTCACAAGGTCAGTTAGAGAGTTAGTTTTGCTGGGTGCTGCCCTTAACTCTTAGTAGCATCCTTCTTCTTAAATTATGAGCTGTTCCAAAATCAGCAATAGACTTGCGCATCTACTTTTATTTTATCTGTTTGAGGCTAGCACCTAAATCTGTTGGTTTCTCTTTCACTCGTGACCATTCTGTTTTTCTATTTAACTAAATTCTGTTTTTCAGTTCTTCTGAAAGTCTTCCTAGCTGGGGTTGTTAGTCATCTTTTTCTTGATTTGATTTGTTTGCATTCAGGCTCTTGCGAGTCCATTCCTTCTTGATGAATCTGTTGAAGATTCAGAATCAAATTGCTTAAGCGACTCTCAAGGTAAGCAATCAGTTCTGTCTTTGTTTTTTTGGTCAAAATTTATTTATTCAAGACCAAAGAATTGTAGGTATTATTATCTTCCTTTCTCTGCAGAAGATGAACAGCCTGATCTTGAAGTTGAATTTACGGACAAGGAACATGATTGTGCTTACAACCGTCTTAAACATATTGATCCAGCTGCAGCTGTCAGAATTCATCCAAATAATGATAGAAAGGTGAGGTGATGTTTGGCTTCATATCATTTCTGTTTCTTTGCATGATGCAATCAGCTGAAAACCTTTCGGCTGGAGGTGACTATTTACAATGAATTGTATTGTTTATTCTAAGATGTAACAACTACAATGACATTGATTTAACAGTTAACACAAATTGCTCTTTTATTCAAAGATGTCACAGCTATAATGATTTTAGTTGAGACATTATATTGGTCAGTTTGATTGTGCATGTTGCTTCAAGTTGCAAGCTGCGGATCCACTTGTTAATATGTCATTCTTCATCTATCACTTACCTTGAGCCGAGGGTCTCTCGGAAACAGCCTCTCCACTCCTTCGGGGTAGGGGTAAGGTCTGCGTACACTCTACCCTCCCCAGACCCCACTTGGTGGGATTTTACTGGGTTGTTGTTGTTGTTGTTGTCATCTATCACTTACCTAGCTTTTCCTCAAAGTTATTTGCCATTGTTAAATGTGTTCGTAGTTCATAGCTAAGTTGCTCCGACACGGCAGTTTAGGTGCCGCACCCGTGTCGAAACGACATTAGTATGGGTGTAGATATGGGATCCGTACCGGATATGGTCAAACAATTTGGGTACTTTGACCACGATGGACGGAAAAATTCGAAACGAGATACAATTTGATTCCCGAAATCAGAACCAAAACTAGGGTAAGTTTGAAGAAAATAGCATACCTTATCTAGGAAATCAATCATTTACCTATCTATAACCTGAGAATAAAAAAAAGAAAACTACAATTTACAGTATTCCACAAAATTTCTCATAATTTAGAGATATTTCTATATTTTTATTCTTTTGATTATTTTTAGCCGGATCCCCGCACCCGTGTCCGTACTAGGATTCGTATCCCCGAATCTTAGAATTTACATCTTGAAGGATCCGACCTCTAGATCCGCATCCGTGTTGGACACCCGCACCCGTGTCCGAGCAACTTAGGTTCATAGGACTGAGTTAATTTGTAATAAGAGTTGTTTGTTCTTGAATTCACCTTGAGCATTTCTTGTGATTTCTGGTCTCTGACACTACATATTCAGAGTTGTTATGTCAATGCTTCTTTGGTTTGAGCAGATGATTATTAGGGGTAGAATTGTTAAAATAATTGCTTTTATCCTACACAAGATATAATTTCTGAGGTGGAATGTGATGTAACGATGCTTTATACAGACTTGTGATTCCTATCTATTGCTAGAGGTTTCAATTGATGTATCTGTTGCCATAAGCTGCAGATCAACCAATACCTGAATCTGTATGCACGATTTGGTGTTATTCCAAGCAAACTTCTTCAGGAGAGAACCGTAGAGGTGCATTCTTCTTGTTCACTCATTTATTGTTTTAACATAATTTTCCATAAAGTTAACTGTGTTAATTTCTAATGATAGTAAGATTTGGATTTTGGAAATAGTTGGCGACTACATGATGAAATCAGATTGTTCCCTTTACGATGCTCTTGAGAAAATATTTGCATTGAAGTCTTTCTACAGAAAAAAGGGAATTTGGTGCAGGGAACTTAAATATCTATGGAGATATATGCATCAGTCCATCATATTGGATTCCCTGTCTATCAACCGTCTTTCAAGCGGCTGATAGATCTTTTCCTTCACTTTGCTAAAGCTCAAATTTTTGTCAGTTTAAGATTCTCTTGCTTTTACATTCTTCCGTTCTTCCATCTGTTTATTTTGATACTACTGGAAATCGTTGCAACGCCATGTTTGATGTAAGATAAAACTAGTAGTTGGTACACTAGAATGGTCGAAAGAGATTCCATTTATACTTAATAAGCAGAAACATGAAATCGATTTTAGATTAATTATCGAAACGAAAAGAGATAAGTTAGGAAGATTCACTCTTAATGGCTGTAGGAGGATAATCCACATTATTAACTCAGAGAAAATGCACAAACTAGTGTAGGACATTTACATATGCCCAGTCATCTGTCAAAAGAATTCTTGAGAAATCTGGACAGGCACAATTTTTTTTGTTTTTTGATGAAGTAATAATAGATTTCATTGCTGGCATCAAGAAGATGCATAATAATACAAAAGTTATGGAAGCAAAGAAGACACTGTTAGCTCAATTACAAAAAGACTATTCTAGTACCAGAGAGCTAACGAAGTTCAAAAAGTTGTCAGGAGAATCTAAGGGGGAAAGGTAATGCCAACTATAAAGATACCAAAGACATCTAGCCTTGAGGGAATGATTTGGAGTTGATAAACCTTCAAAACATCTGTTGTTCCTTTCTGACCATATACACCAAAAAATACTCGCAGGAATCATCTTCCAGATTGGCCTGATGGCCTTACCAACTCTCCAGTTACACCAGCACTCAAAGGCCTCTTTAGTGGTATGTGGCATTACCCAGTTAATACCAAAAATGCACAAAAACATATTCCATAAGTCAGCAGCAACTGTACAGTGTAAAAATAGATAGTTGTTAGATTCAAGTTTCTGTTGGCACATGTAACATCTATTGATCATCTGGAAGCCTCTTTTCTTAAGATTGTCTTGTGTGAGGCATGCTTCATAGAGGGCTGTCCAGCTGAAACATTTGATCTTTGTTGGGAGATTAGTCTTCCATATCAACTTCCATGGCCAGTCATCAATAATGTCATTAGAAGCATATGAGTTTGCATAGCCTGCTTTCACTGAGTATTTACCATCAACACTGCTCCACTTTAACTTATCTGCTGCCTGGGCATTCATCATGTGGCTTTCTAGTCTGGAAAGCAAGTCTGTCACTTCTTCAATTTCCCAGTCTTGTAGGTTCCTTCTGAAAAGCATGTCCCAAGTGTTGTTTGCCCAATTCTGAGATACAGAGGACAGGCACAATTTATTTATCAAGGACATTTAGATAGTAGCTATAGGCTGTTGGATTTGTGATGTGAATTGCCATAGCATGCCTCTTCATGTTATTTTGTTGCTTGTGGCAGGGCAGAACTGGGGTCGAGTTGATAATTCAAGATATGATTTCTGCTTCTTATGCGTGAATGCATCTCTTTCCACTATGGATCCATTTGTCAATAAAAGAGTTGATCACATGGTTGATGCTGGTCTACTTGTGGAAGTTGGTGACATCTATACACTAGATGCAGACTATACAAAGGGCTTGAGGCAGGCCATCGGTGTTAGGGAATTTGAGTTATTTCTTCGACGTCACATACTGGAACATCAAAAAGCCTGTGGTGAATCTTACCTTCAGGCACTAAATGATCAGACATTGAGGCAGAATATACATCATATCATGGATTCCCCTGACAACAATGAACAGAAAGCTCTTTTAATTGAAGCAATTGAAAATGTCAAACTGAACACACGAAGACTTGTACGGCGTCAAGTAAGTACTGTTCCCTTCTAAAGTAGCTAGTTGTATGTTTAAACAAGGTATAACCAAGTAAGAAATGTTTGTGTGCAGAACATTCGGTTTTTCAAGTCTGCCTTCATGGGGTGGGCAAGTGTTCAGTTCTTGCAAAACCGGATGTAATTGAACTGTACATCGAATTTGGTTAAACTCTCTGATCAAAGGTGCAGAATTTGGTTGATTTGTGTAGGACACGAAGTTCTTGAAACCAATTGCTGATGTTTTATACTCTAGGAATAAATATACATGACATATAAACAATATCTGGAAGATATATAGCTTATCAAAGTTCATAAAAAGATGCAGAGCATGAACTCCTAATGCTCTTCCCCTTCATTAGTGACAGAGGAGCCTTCTTAATCTGAACTTCGTTATTTGATATTAAAATGAGGAAGTACTTGCAAGTTTTCTTGCTTTCGGTGCACTAGTTGTTACTGATCCTGAGATTCTTTGAGTTAGACCTTTTGGAAATGCCTATTGCTGATTGTCTGATTGTTCTCAGAGGAGAAGGCTTAATCGGCTGCAGATGCTATTTGGATGGAACATACATTATGTTGATGCTACAAAGTCCATAATAAGTATGTGATTCGGCTTTAAACTTAAATGAAATTTCACATCAATTTCAAAGTCCTTTCTTCTTAGAAGGTATATTGTCCTGATTTTGGCTGTACTTGCAAGTAATATCTGAATTAATTGGCATGTTTTACACAGGTGGCTCTGATGGTGTATGGGCAGTGGAAGTGGTCGAACCCTCTGCGAGAATAATCAAATCCTTTCTCACTGGGGAATGCAGCACAGAGAATAGCAGCAATGCTTCTGAAGAAATGAGGTTGATGCAAAAGGATATCTGGACTCGGCATGTATGCGAGGTTAGTGTCAGCTGCTTCATTCCTTCCGCCCCCCTTTTCCGACTCCCCTCAAATAATAGGAAATGAAAAGGGAAGGGTTAAAAGTAAAAATGAAGATAAAACCGATGTATCCAACTATTGGTAATTTGGTGATAGCTACCAATCATGCAACATTTATATAGTTGTCCTGATATATGTGCGTATTATTTTGGTTGCTTGTCAGGCATGTGGGAATAAGGTCCTCAGAGGTGCGCATGAATGGGAACAACACAGGCAGGGCCGTGGCCATCGAAAACGAGTTTCTCGGCTTAAAAAATCTGGAAACTTGTGCTCGTGAAGCTATATGGATACCTCCCCCGCTTCAACCACAGTTAGTTACTTTTTAACTGCCATGTGAAGTATTGTCATATTTTTTTTTTTCACATGTGTTAGTTTCGTTGTCAAAAATGGTTGCACTCATTTTGCTCAGTCTGTAATTTACTGAACAGTTTTTCAGTCAAGTTAAATGAAGCAGTTTATTCGATTGTCTTGCAGAAAAAAATTAATTCTCAGTGTTGCTTTTGTTCTTTTGTGCTCTAATTAGACTGGCTCCAGGATTTGCTTATAATCTTCTTTATTGGAGAGGGTTTAGACTATTTTCTGCAGCACAATTTTTCTTACAGCCATTCCAGATACATGTCTATGCTGCATACACTATGCAGAAACTAAGGGGTTGTTTGGTTACCAGGTGTGATGGACAAGGATATCCCATGGGATTAGCTATCTCATCTTCTATATGGGATAGGTAATCCCACCACCATTTGGGTATAAAATTTATCCCATCACTAGCTAATACCTATAACCAAACATTGAATAAATACAATCCCATATTCTATGCCGTATCCCGATAACCAAACGACCCCCAAGTGTTAACGGTGGTTGAATAATAGAAGAGCACACGTGTTTAATCAACAACTTGCATCATTAGTGTGGTAAATCAGTTGGCAACAAAATAGGTGGTTTAGTTAATTTTCAAATGAGTTACAGGCTTACAGCTTCTGCTGTAGCTCAAAGTGTTTTTTTTTGGGTTCCCATTAGACAATAGTATTCTTTGTGGTCCGACTAAATTTGAATTCGTGTTGGAGAGTTTCATATTGGGGGTTAAAGCTCTCTAATTAACAAAGACGACTTCATACATGGGGCTTGAACTTGAAATCTCTGATAAAGATGGAGTACTTACCATTTCACAACTAATCCCTTGTTGGTAGCGAGAAGAGTGGTTGAATTCTATAACATAGCTGACAATATCATTCATACATCTGTTAGATGCAATCAATGAATAATACAATAACAATTACTCTGTTTTCTCTAATCAATGATAGGAAGAAGGGCTTCGCTAGTTTACCTAAGAATCTAGTTATTTAGTCAGTTTATAACCGTCTTTTTCGATTGATGGAAAAGGCTACACCCTAAAATAGACAAACACAAAATGATTAAATTTTTCACCTCTTCTATCTTATTTCACATTAAAGAAATTGATTCAGCTAAATGAAAAAAAAAAAAAGGAAAAGCAAATTACCAATTATAGGACCAAAGAAGCTGTGGCAAGGTCTTCAATTACATTGTCATTTGTCAGTTTACCCTTTTACTATAGCTGTGGTGGCTCAGAAATGGCAGGGGCTAGTGGAATCCAAGCAAGGCTGATGCAACTTTATTTTAGTGGACTGTTTGTATGCACGACTGGATGTCCGACAACAGATTCGATTTGTTTGGACATGGGCCTCTTTTGCTGTTTCTTGATTCTAATGTTAAAATCTGATATCAAGATTTAGCTACCACATTCTCAAATTTATTTTAAAGATTAAAATCTATTTGAACATTATTTTTAAAATATATTTTACTTTTTTTTTTTTGAAAAAAACATGAAACGTGACTTATACTCATAAGTTCTAATCAGAGATACCAAACTAGCTAATCATGTATATGCAGAACCTTTATCGATGTCATTCATTATCATTATCACAAATCATAGTCCTGAACATAGATAAGTTTGGCACAAAATTATCATTTATATAATAAATTACATAATACACTATCCTAAAACAATAACCTGATATTTTAATAGCAACTGCTATTAACACGATTACTAGCTACTATAATTCGTCAAATTGTAATAATATTACAAGATCCATCAGTTAAAAAAAATTATTTAGCTGGTGGATTAGTTAGGTCATAATAGATGGACTTTTTTTAAAAAATATAAAGTTTGGGGTAATTTTTGAAATTGTTAAAAACCCCAACTGTACTATTTTGAGCCAAAAACAGGTATAGAGTTATTTTGGGATTTGAAACTTTTGTTTTCAAAATCTGTCAACATGTGGATAAAATTTATAAACAAACATGTTTTACCAAAATTTTTGAAAAAAATTGCAAAAATCTATGGCCAGATGGTGCTTAATCATTTGATAGAGCAAAAGCATTTGGATTTTTACCACCTCCAATAAAAGATTTAAAATTCATTTTCAAAGAACTAGTTTCACCAAGTAATGCTGATTTTTTTTTTAAAGAATAGCTTTTCTGTCTATAAATGCTCGAGCCATATTTTTAACCGGGGTAATAAAAGAAATGGGGCGGGTCTAATAATAGGACGAGTAATATTATCAATATTTGTTGTCTGACCCAAAGAGCCATGTGGCCAAGTAAAAAGATGCCTACAAGTTAAAATCGTAGCCAACAACTTTTACCGTTAAATTGAAAGGTAATTTTAGTATAAAAATAACGATGAGAGTATTTGAGGACCAAAAGATAAATGGAGGATAATTTTAAACTATCTACCAAACAATATGAGTAATTTTGACCTTTTTCTGTAAAACAAATATCAAAGTTTGAAAAAGAAAGTAAGAACTTCTGATGGAATTTATTTCCAACTTTTCGTTCATTAGAGAGAAAATTGGTCACTAGGGATTTTTCCAGTATTGATGAACCATGGTCCATAGAGCATGTCGAATATCTTTTGGGATTTGCTCCTTCAATATTTACATTTAGGGCCCGTTTGGCCAAAAAAAGTTTTTTTTTTCGAATTATCGTTTGGCCATAAAAATCTCAAATTTTCACTTGAAGTTGAATTTAAGAATTTTTTGGAATTTGAAAAACTACAAAAAGCTATTTTTTAAAAATTTCACTTCAAAGCACTCACAAAAATTCAAAGCTCCAAATTGCATATATATATATATATATATATATATATATATATATATATATCCAAACACAACTGTAATTTTCAAATACCATTCTCAACTTGATTTTTTTTTAAACCCTTTTTCGGAATTTCACAATTCTTATGTCCAAACACCCACTTAGTTTAATCAAGGGGATATAAATAGAATAAGATTTACTTTTATTATACGGTCAGATGTTCTCTTTCTTGTACTAACGTTACTATAACATACTGGAATACACGCATATGATACTGAAAATCTAATTTCGAGCATAATAAAGAACATGATAAATCTCTATAGTGTATAACCTTTTAATAATTCAACAACATACCAATTATTTGAAAGAAAAGCCTAAGGTCACATTCCTTAAATTAAGTGATGTTATGTCAATGATTTCCATATCAAAACTCAATCGTAAATTAGATAGCACAAAGAAGGGCCATAGGGAAAAATCCAGTAAATGAACATGGCATGCTCAACTTAAAGCAAAAGAAAAAAATGAGGACTAAATAAAAAGAGTATCTTTCAATTTAGCCCCATTTGTCCATAATTTTTTTTTCAAAAATATGTTTGCCCATGAAATTTTATAAGTTTTTGGAAAATTTTCGAAAATGAGTTTTTCAAAAAAAATTCAGAATTATATTTTCTCCACTCACAAAATTGCAATATTGTTTTTAAGTGAAATGCATGTTCAAACATAATTTCAAATTTCAAATACTATTTTCAACTTAATTCCAAATACTACTCCCTCCGGTCCATAATAAGTGACCTTTTGGTCCAAAATAAGTATCCTTTTACATAATCAAGAAGGAATTAATTTTATTTTTCCAAAATTTTTGCCCTTATTTACATAGCCCAATATGTCAAGGTAACAATTAATTATGGGTAATTTAGTGAATACATATTTTTTTTATCTCTAGGAGTTCGTGTTTTCTTAAGTGGTGTGCTAGAACTAAAAAGTCACTTATTATGGACTAAAATGAGTACTTTTAAAAACAATTACTCCATCCGGTCCACAATAATAACCAATTTGCTTTTTTATTTTGGTCCAAAATAAGTGTCCATTTATATAATCAAGAAAAAATTCAATTTATTTTTTCAAAATTACTCTTATGTACGTAACCCTAAAAAATCATTTACTCCTCACGTTTGAGAAGATAAACAAGTGCTACTATAACTATGGTGCAACATTTAACGAAGGGTAGTTTAGTCATACTAACTATTTTCGTTTAGAATTTAGTGACTTAATGGATGCGCCCAAAACAAATTAGTCACTTATTGTAGACCGGAAGGAGTATAATTTTTACGTCCAAACTACTTGGTCCCACAAATGAGAAATAGTAGTAGTAGTGGTTTCTCACTATGATGTTGCATTTTGAAAACTAGTCCCTCAAATTCCAAGAAGAATGGTTCAGAGTGGGGTCACTCCTTTTTGAAAAGCAAGGTTAGGACAATTAGGGTGAAGCCATGAAAATTACATTGTCCCATGCAGCTAATTGTACCTTTTTCCATATATTGTTTTGCAGATATTGTCTTGTAAAGGAGAGACTTGACTTCATGGTACAAAAATGTGTATTTATGCAAAGATGGATCCAAGATTTAAGTTTTATGAGTACAATTTTTAAGATTATTATCCTTAAACTCATTATATTTTTAAAGTTATGAGTTTGTATCTATTATTTATTGTAATTTTAGTAAATTTTTACATATAAATTTATACTCTGCATTAAAAGTACTGAATTTAGATGAACTCGACACGTATAAACTCCATCTGCCCCAGCATGAGTGATGACAGACTGTTGAAGTTGACAGAAAAATAATGTTGGGTGTATATATAGGTGTCTTTTGGTGAACCATTTTGCTTCATTGGTTTACTAATTAACTGGCCATGGCTGATGGATTCAAGCATTTGGTTTTGGTGAAGTTCAAGGAAGATGTGGTGGTGGACGACATTCTAAAAGGATTGGAAAAGCTTGTTCAAGAAATGGATATTGTCAAGTCTTTTGTTTGGTAAGTCATTGAATACATTTTTATGCTCATTTTTATAAATACTGATACACTATATTATACGGACTCTCCAAAATGTTACTGTACCCGTGTCGGATCCTTCAAAAATACACTACTTTAGGAGGATCCGACATGCAACCGGAGATAAGTCTGAGCAACATAGCTGATACATAGAAGAGGAGTCTTGGTGCAACGGTAAAAGTTACCGTTGCGTGATTGGGAGGTCATAGGTTCGAATCGCGAAAACAGCCTCTTGCAGAAATGTGAGATAAGGTTCCATACTCATAAGATCAAATGTGGTCTTGGTCTGACTCTTTCCCAGACAGTGCGAGCTTAGTGTACAGAACTACTCTTTTGCTTGCACATTGTTGTGATGATTGTAAATTAAAATGGTTTCTATAACTTGTGGCAGGGGAAAAGATGCTGAAAGCCATGAAATGCTAACACAAGGTTTTACTCATGCTTTCTTGATGACATTCAATAACAAGGATGACTATACCACATTTGTTAGTCACCCAAATCATGTGGAATTTTCTGCTACTTTCTCCACTGTAATTGACAAGGCTGTGCTACTGGATTTCCCTGCTATTTCTGTCAAAGCACCTGCTCCAGCTTGACCACATGATCAATGTCACAAAAAAATAAAAAAAGCTAGTTGTATGTGTGCATCTATGTTTCAGTATGGTTTGATTTGTTTAGGATGATATTTGGATGTTTGAGGTTCAAGTGTGTGAACAGTCTATTATCTTTGCTTCCCAAATTGTGGATGCTTAAGACATGTAATGTATCACTATGAGGAATCTTGAAATAAAGGCTTAATACATACTTTCCAAAATTGTGGATGGTTAAGACATTTAATATATCATTATAAAGTATTATCGAGAAGTGTGATGAAATAGTTGTGATCCATTCATTTTTAATAAGGGATTTCGAGTTCGAACAAAAAAAATGTAGAACTTTTCGGTAGGAAGCGTTTTACCCTTTTAGATGGCCTACTTTGCGTAAATACAACTTAATCAGGCTAATGAATTTTGAATACTGAATGATTAAACAACAAACGTGTTGGCTGTTGAGATATTTAAGCTCTTTAATGAATTGGCATTGATATTTTACTACTCATACTATGTTCATTCTATATTGGGAAAAATGCATAAATACTCCTTAATTAGATTTGTCTTGGATAATTAGATTTGTCTAGATCACATGAACGAATCTTCAAAACTTAAAATTATAAAATAATTACCTTTCTTGATTTTATTGCTTTTTTGGAAGTAGTCCAACACGTGCTCCTTATTAAAATAATGTGGGGGTGTATATACTGGGCAGAAGTGGCGGAGCCAGAATCTTCATTAAAGGGTGTCAAAATATAAATAATTAGATACATCAAAAAATCACAGGGAGTAGTATAGTAAATATACATAAAATAAAAAATATATCTAGTAATATATTGTAATTTTCCAGTGAAGTGGTGTCACTCAATGTGACTCGGCCACTAGGCAGAGGTAGGTAAGGACTTACTTGTTCATACAATCTCAGTAGTTTTGGCTCAAACTCTATACATATACTTAAAAATCTACTAAATAAGTACATATAATAGAGTTGGAACCCAAATCAAATAGGGTTGAGTAAAATTAGTTGTCGAAGTCATAATGTTCAAATGTTGAATAGGACTTGATGTATACAAACGCGGGTTTCGGAGGCCATTTTTGCTTCATTGATTTACCAATAACTAGCAGCCACTGCTGATGAATTCAAGCATTTGGTTTTGTGAAGTTCAAGCAAGATGTGGTGGTGGAGAAGATTTTTAAAAGGTTGGAAAAGCTTGCTTTAGAAATGGACACTATCAAGACCCGTTTCACCATACATTTTGTCAAAATATATTTGAGTTTTTTTTTTTTTTTTGCAAATACATGTTTGGCCATAGATTTTACTTATATTTTGGCAAATTCCTAAAACTCAAATCTCAAATCCCAAGAGCTGGTTTTGGCCCAAAATATCACTATTACATTTTTTAAAAATTACCCCAAACTTTTGTATTTTATAAAAGAGCTCACTATTTATTATTTTGTAACAACGCTGCTTCATCTTCTCGGTCATGTGATAGTGTATTATGTAGTTCATTATAAAAATGATAATTTTGTACCAAATTTATTTATGTTCAGGACTATGGTTTGCGATAATATAATGAATGTTATTGATAAAGGTAACGTTGGGTATTTGTGATAGTTTTTAGAACTTATAGGTATAAGTCATGTTTCATGTTTTTACAAAAAAAAAAGAAATGAAATATCTTTTGAAAACTTATGTCCAAATACATTTTCATCTTCAAACTAAACTTCACCCAAATCAAGATTTTTCAAAATAAATTTGAAAATCTATGATGAAACGCTAGCCAAGTCTTTTGTTTGGTATGTCTTTGAATACACTGTTCACATTTTCTCATAGGTCATTTTAATGTAGTCACACATTTTTGTGATAAATAGTACGTACTAATATTCAAATGGTTCTTTAACTTGTGGCAGGGGAAAAGATACTGAAAGCCATGAAATGCTTGCACAATGTTTCACTCATGCTTTAAAAATGACATTCAGTAGCAAAGAACACTATAAAAAATTATGTTAGTCACCCAATTTATGTCGAATTTTCAGCTACTTTTGCCACTGTAATTGACAAGGCTGTGGTGTTGGATTTTCCCTGCTATTACTTTCAAAGCACCTGTTATCCATGGCACAACAAACTAGTGTTATGTGTGTTATTATGTTCCAATATGGTTTGGTTCTGTTTAGACTGTTTTGGTCTAATTGAGGTTCAAGTGTTTGTATTGTGGATGGTTTTGCATTTTATGATATCCTTTCATGAATGGACATTTCAATAGAACATTGTGTCCTTTTCAACATCTTGTGACTAGTATTTTGATTATGAAATAATCACTGAACTAGAGTACAAATTTAACTTTTGACTTTTCATTACCTATGCTAGAGATCTACATGCTAAAATTAATCTTCTACTACATCATACTGACCCCATTATACCAAAGTTTGTCTGCCATATGTTGCCTCTATTATCACTAATCGGAAAATACAAACAAATTCAGTAAAATCTTACCCATGGAGACTGAAAGTAACGTGTACTCAAACCTTACCCCGCTCCCCGTTTATAAAGTAGATAGGTTGTTTCCAGACTCAAAAAGGACTTTGAGGTCAACAAAGCATATCAGATAAATAAAAAGGTAATAATATTTTATTCCAGAATTTTATGATGCTCAAAGAATATTACAGTAACAAAAAGGTAGAATTTTTTTCCTGCAAAGTGGAAAAGTTAGATTCTTTAATTCCTCCTTTTACAGCCTTTCATCTATTTTGCATTTTCTCATTGCATCAAAAACTCCATTTTTGAAGTTCCAATACAGTAGAAATATCAAATCAGGGTAACAAAAGAAAGGAAGCAAAAACATGGAAATCTTGATCAAGAAAGTTCATCTTTTAGTCTTTTTCCTTTCTTTAAACTTTTACATGTCTCAAGAAGCACAAGCAGCAAAAAACTACTGTGGTAATATAAGAATTGAAGAGCCATTTGTTTCTCAAAACTCAACAAATTCATCTTTCTTGAAAAACATGGTCTTTTGTAGATCAGAGATTTTATACTATAGAACTTCTGTTGGTCTTTTCCAAGTTTCATCAATTGATTACAAAAATAAAGTACTTACTGTTTCTCATAGTTCTTGTTCTACTTCATCTCATTATGTATCTGCTAAAGATTTATCTTTTGGATTTCCTCCTCCACCTAAGCCTAACTCATTACTCTTATTCAACTGCTTAAATCCTAAGGGAAATACATCAATTTTTCGAAATTGTCCTTACTTGAAAAATGAGAAAGGAATTTCTTTGAAGTTGTGTAAAGAAGGTCTAAAACAAGGGTCTTTTTCTTGTTTGATGGTTGATGATGTTCAAGATTTGGGAAATGAGTTTCATCCTAAGGATTTGAACTGTTCACATTATAGAAGAGTTTATAAAAGCAATTCTCAAGATGGGAATAGTGAGAAACTTGAGTTAGGGACAAGGATATCTTGGGATATTGAACATGTACCAAATCCTTGTGATGAGTGTAGAAAACCTTATGGTAATTGTGGAGTTGGATTGAGATGCCTTTGCTATGTAACTCAATGTAGTAAGTTCTCTTATCTCATAACTCAGAAGCTTTTACACTAAAAGCTTTCTTTGTTTTCTCTTGTCAAATCATTGTCATGGTTTGAGCCGTAGAAACAGCCTCTTGTAAAAATATAGGTAAGACTGTATACAATAGACCCATGTGGTCCGGCCCTTCCTTAGACCTTGTGCATAGCAGAAGCTTAGTGCACCGATCAGTTCTTTCATTGTCTTGATTCTTATTGTGGTGTTTTTTTTGTTTGCAGAGGTAGAGGTTTCTGCTGGTCTAATTCCAAAACCTAGTGGTATTGTGCTCTTCTCTTTGCTTTGCTTAATTGTTGTGATGGATCTTCTTGAAGGGGTTTGAATATAATTAAGCTCTTCCATTTTATGGAAAAAAACAAGATGTATTTATTTTACTTTCATTTTCAAAGAATGAGAATTTGTATTGAAGAATATCTTTGGGGATGTATATTGTACTATATGATATGATGTTATCATCTTGTACTAAAAAGTGTGAAAGGGAGCGTTACGTAACTGGTAAAGTTGTTGTTACGTGATCAGGAGGTCACGGGTTTGAGCCGTGGAAACAACCTCTTACAGAAATGCAGGATACTATTGCGTACAATAAACCCTTATAATAGTGTGGCTCTTTTTCGATCCCGCGCATAACGGGAGCTTAGTGCACTGGGCTAACCTTGTACTAAAAAGTGTGACGAAGATTTGCTGGATACTACTTTATCAATATATATATATATGTCTACTGAAATTACTAGTGGTGTGTTGCCTTTTCCACTTATTGTGTCTAAACTTTATGAATTGAGCAGGTTATGGAACATGTAGGGACATTTACAGCCCTTTAGTGAATGCATTGTTGAATTTAAGCTTTTCATTATGCTGTAAAGTCATGTCATTGTTTGCAAAAAGTTAAATGAATCCACATTTTTTCTAGAAATATGCATGTGGTAGGGATCAATTTTGCTTGTGATTATAGAAGAGAGTTGTCTTCTTGAGTGAGGTTGACAACTAGAGAATTTGCTGAGATAAATACCAAAGGTTACATTAGTTCAAAACAGTGGAAATATGATGAAATATTCTTGTTTAGAAACTGGTTCTTTTAGGTTGAATGACCAAGAGACTATAATTATGTTTCATAGTACTAGTAATAGAAAGTTAAAAAATGTATGCATTGACGGTGTAAAATATATGATAAATTACTTATATGGGTAAAATATATTGATTAGTAGAATGGTAACTACCCTGTGTAATACGTTAAACTAGGCTAATTGTGTAGAAATTTTTACATGCAACTTAAGTCCTTTCACAATATGGTGTCTAGAAATACTTGAGAAATTCTCATTTGAAGCATGCATGTTCCTCATTCTTTTACATGAGTGCAGCTTATGACGCTCCAAATGATGTACTGTACTTTTAATCAAATCATCGTCATCTTGAACTTGAATGCTCTAAGCATTAATTGTTGCAGCAGTTTGGAAGTGCTTACTGTCCTGTCATAGCTCAGCACCTTCTTCTTGTGATATGTTCTCCCCTGCTTCATAATCATATTGTAGAAGAAATGCACGAACCATCCCGCTTTCACACGGGAAAGTCCGCACCCCAAGGAGTTGTGTCACGATCCAATTTTGGATTGTGACCGGCGCTTAGGAGCAAGTGCTCCCAAGTAAGCCTCATCGGTAATTTTACAGAAAATCGAACAGAGTTTTCCCTATTTTTGGACCATCCCAAAAACTTTCCTGTCTCAAATCAACAACCAAACATCCTAATATCATACCAAATTATTGACAACTTGTCAATTAACCAATATAAGTCTCCACCATAACTAAACCACCAACTAACCACTAGAAATACAAATTTATCTCCAACTTTGATAAATGAGAACGATACTCAACATAAGACTATAATAACAAAAGAATACTCACGACACAATAACGATGGAGCGACTCAGAGTTCAATGAAAAGACCATAACAATAAATAAAATCTCTGCCCACGCGAATTGCATCGAGAGACTTAAGAGAATGCCGCCCAGTGTGACAGGCTCTTGCAAGAAATCTGTGTGCAAGCAAGAGAAGTTGCCCGTGAGCAGGGAGGAGTGCGGGACGAACTCATGCTGGAAAAACTCGTCGACGCCGTCAAGTATCTTGCAGACATGGACGAACAAGTGCGAGGCTCACCGAGAAATATCAACCCGTGCGCTCTAATTAACGATATTCTCGCCTACGTCAACTGCTGTCTCTGTAAAAAAAATTAGCGGGGAATGAGTCGCTAGCTCAGTGAGTAAATAACACTTAACCACAACCGTTTTTGTTGGGGACAAGTCAGAAAACATGCTAGTATATCAAACAGAAAATAACATAAAAATGCCCTTTCAGAAACAATAAATAATTTTCAGTCTCGTCATGCTTTTCTTGTAGTATAATACAATTAACAGTTTGGTAAAAAGCTTGGTAACCACCGTCTAATATCAATATTCACATTTAGGAGGTTTCAATGAACGAATCATGTAATCGGTATAACTGTGGACTTCTTCGCAAGAAGCCAAATATAACGGTAGTCCCTACTCGAGGGAAATCGGTAACGGTATGCTAGTTCTACCTTCCCACTAGCGGTGACTATAACTGTACTCTGTAATCGGTAAATACAAGGTGCACCAAGTCTAACGAACCCGCCGTTAGCTACGGGATCCTTCAAAGTCTACTCCCATTTATACTTGTCTCTGTAATCCATATATGCTCATAGGAAATATTTTAAAACAATATAGGACATTTCGGTTCTTATCAAATCATATAATTTCATTTGGATAACAATAAATTCAAGTAACGGTAAAATGTATCTAGTGACAACAAGAATATTTAAAACAATGGTAATCATATCAAATAACTATTTTGGTATCATATCGAGTAAAAGACTTGTCCCACATGCAACTCAAATTAATCGGTAACATATTCTTATTAAAAATCATGCAGGTTATGAAAACACAAATTGCTGTAAGATTACTACTCACAGTACTCGTGCCAAAATTCCAAATGCTTCACCTCGAGCAATTCGTACAACTTCCTCCAATTCAATCTATAATTACATAATATCGGTGTCATGTTAATTTCTATGTTTAGGCTAATTCATAGCTAATTTAGAATACCCAACCCTCGAGGTTCCATATTTGACTCTTAATTCGCCGAATTATATTTACCCACATATGAGTAATTACTAATCTATCAACTCCAACCTATTCATATAATTTACCCAGTTAATTCATGGAAAAGTCTCATGAATTTCTCCCAATTTCCTTAACTATATCTTTCAAATTTTTAGTCCAACTTCAAAATTATATCTACTCAGCCCTACAAAGATTATGTATATAAAATTCCATAGCCTTAAAAGAGGAAGAAATACATGTAACTACCTGGAGTGTATTGCTGAAACTTAAGAAATTGTATGCCAAAGATTAGATGAAACACGGTCTAAGGGATTTTTGTCTCAACCCTTTTCTTTTGCTTCTGTTTCAATTTAAGCAGACTGCGTATTCCTTTCCCCAACTCCTTTTTGGCTTTAATTATTTTTTGTTTTATTAGTTATTTTGCTAGATTTTGTTTCTTTTCCTTTTTGGGCAGAATGGGCTTCAACCTTTTTTTTTTTTGAATTCCTTATCTTTTTTTTTTGGTTATTCTTCTTCTTTTTTTGTAGCTAGTTTATTATTATTATTATTATTATTATTATTATTATTTTGCTAATGACCAATACACCCTTATTAAAATATAGGGTATTACAGGTTATTATGTAGACGGTCTACTCTAATGCAAGCATTCCACAGTTGAGACCAGAAACTTTTAAAAAAAAATTGAATTTGGTAGGGTGGTGATGAGCAAAAGAAAATTTAGTAAATATATCATGGTTTGTGTCCTCCAAGGTTGATGTTATCACAGTGGTTGCTATGTAACTCAAAGCTAGGTTTGATGCTACAAAATATATGTAGTTATGTACGAAGTCTACTGTGAAAAATGTGCAAGTTCACATCTTGATGGCATTAATTAAGTGAAAAGCTATTGAAAACTTCTCACTAGGGTATACTGGGACACTGAAAATAGAAAGTAGGGAATTTCAAATTGAAACTAAGGTTGTTAGATTCCTTACAACTAGGGTACAAATTATAGAATGACAGAGAGCAGGCTAAAAAGATATAGTTGCAAATTTATATGAAGATGACAATTCAGAAACAGGATCATGATAAATAAAGGAACAATAATTTGAATTGTTATAATAATTATGCTTCAATTCCAAAAGAAGTTGTCACATGAATCCTTACTGATCACGTCGATCCATTTTATCTCATATCACCAATGATATATTCTGTATCGTTAGAGTTCATAAGTTGATGAGTTTTATGTTGATTATATATCTACCGCAACCCTTTTTCTTTATCTAAGTTTGGGACTGACAATGTAAGCAAGCTCAGGCACACAAAGTTGATAGCTTGACTTGTTATTCTATCCAAATTATGTTTTAGCATTTCTTGATTCATTTAGTGAAGACAAAGGTGAGTTTTTTCTTCTTGCCTTTTGCATTAGGGCATCTCCAACCTTCACCCCCATTTTGGTCCCCAAGATGGGGATTTTCCCATTTTGGTGACAACTTACTTCAACCATCCCCCCCCTTTTCCCCCGAAAGCGAATATTCTTTTTTATATTCTTTTCTCTTCTATATTATATTATTATCTTTCATTTCAATTTTATTTTTTAATTTTCATTAAACAAATTTCATCTTTTATTTTCATTATTTTGTAATTTCCATTAAAACAATTCCATAAAATTTTAAATAATATAATTTGTAAGCAATTATTATAGATTAACTAATAATTCAAATAAAAGTGAAATAATTGTGATACAAGATTAATTAAATACATATTACATAACGATAAATTTTATTCGAAATACTACATAAATATTCAACTTCAACCTCTAGTATTCTCCCATAAATGATCTATTAATGCATACGAAGTGCAAAATGAGTATCTTTGTCCTTAATTCTTCCATGTCGAGCTAAAAATTCTTGAAATCGTTGATTTTCATCTTCTGCCATTTCTATTGTTGGAGGTGGACCTTCCAAATCATCTTGAATTGGTGCATTAAGATCACGCTCATTCTCGATTATCATGTTGTGCAATATAATACATGTAGTCATTATATCATGTAGCACTTCTTTTTGCCAAAAACGTGAGGGTCCTGCAACAATTACAAAACGTTGTTGCAAAACTCCGAATGCACGTTCAACATCTTTTTGACATGATTCTTGTTTCATCGCAAAATAATTTTTCTTTGCCAAACGTGGCTCACGAATAGTTTGCACAAGGGTTGACCATTTTGGATATATATTGTCAACTAAATAATAGCCCATATTATATTCTTGTCCTTTCAATTTTAGCAACATCTAATATTTTATATTTGCACTATTCATTTTTTGAGATGATCATATATTTTTTATACAATTATAACTTATAATAAAATTAACTTATAATTTTACATAAAAATAATAAATGCACGAAAATTAATTTATCAAAATTATACGCCAAAGTTAAGATGTTAAATTAATATTATAAAGATATTACATAAACATAACTAGGTATAAATAAAGAGATAAATTAAAAGAGTTAAATAATAAAATAAAAATAAAATATGCATGAATAGTAATGTGGGAGATGAATAATGTACCCCCATCTATTCATCCTCCATTTTAAGGGTAAAAATAAAGGAGGATTGAAG